TCAATTGTTATTTAACATTAAAGAATAATTTAGACAATTAAAAAATATAATATGCATTATCGGTATAATAAATTCGAGGAGAACGCTTTTATGATGGATAACGGAGGATTTGGAGAAAGTTCAAGATGGACAAATACACATAATCTTCCATTTCACCATGATCCACAACATCCTGATAACTATGGGCCTCAACATGGTGTTCGTGGCCATTCATTGCCACCTCCACATCATTTGGAACCTTACGACGCAAATTACGCAAATCATCACTTAAATCTTTATTCACAATATCATAATCCTTATCCTCATTATCCTCCTCAACGTGACCGAAGGAATAGCAGCAGCAGTCTTTTTAATCTACCTCCAACCATTCAATCACGACCGCAACCACAATCACAACCGCAACTACAACAATTACAATTACAACCGCAACCACAATCGCAACAATTACAACCGCAGCCACAATTACAACAATTACAGTTACAAACACAACCGCAACCACGACCACAACCGAAATCACAACCGCAACCGAAATCGCAACAACCGAAATTACAGCAACAGCAACCGAAATTACAGCAACCACAATTGCCTGAATTTCAATCTTCCGAACCTCTTATTAAGGTCGAGAATTCTGAAGAACATCATATAACTGATTGCTCTCCAAAAAAGTCACCTTCACTGTCAACGAATAATGATTGTGGACAAAATAATCAATCTCACGATTGTCAACTTTTTCCAATTTCCAAGAAAGAGGAAGAGATTGTGGAGGCAACAATGGAAAGAGAACGAGTAACTACATTAAATATTAAGGCTGAAAAAACTTGCACAGACTCAGCTTTTAAGAAATATAAGGAATTGCTTTTGGGGGGGCTGGATCGTCCAGTGTTTATTAGAGAGGCAGATGCACCAAACCTTTCTGAACTCCAAAGAGTCGTTCTGGAGTTGCTGTTTATTTAGACGTATGATGATTCACCAAATATTTTTTATCAGAGTTTCCTTTTGGAAATGCTTTCTTTAGGTTTATAGAAGAATAGGATTAAGTCATTTTGACTTCAAAGAATCGTTTTGAAGTCATTTTTTTCTTAGGTGTATGGGAATGATTATTTTAATTAAAAAAGGCTTTTGATTACGAACCGCAAAACTTTAATGTAGTGATACTGGGAAAGAACCAAATAAATATTTTTTACAATTTGGATAGGTAAGCTTGCACTTTCAAAATCAGCTTCAGTAGCTGATGCATTTTTTGCTTTGAATGAACCGATAAATCATTCTTTTACCAACAAATTTATTACTGAATAATTGGATCATGGCTTTATAGCCTGAAGTAACTGAGGCTAGTTATATAGAAAAACAAAGGCTTGGCATGTAAAAACGTTCTCCAAAAGAATATTCAAAGTTAGAATAAAAATTCCTTAGAGGTTTTTTAGAAAAATTTGTCAATTGTTATTTAACATTAAAGAATAATTTAGACAATTAAAAAATATATATGTAAAGAGAATTAAGAACTACTTTATTTATATGCTGTAAGCATTGAACATTTCTTCATTAGATTAAACCCGATTTTTTAAATATATGGTTTAAATAATAATTTATTGGTTTTGAAATTAAAAGAACTATACAGTATATTATTTTTATATTTAAAACTATAATTTTTAAAAAAAAACAATTGATTTTATTATTGCAAATATAAAATCACATGTTATTTTAATAAATTTTGACTATATAATTTTAAAAATTATATTTATAATTTATACAATATACAATATTATTGATAAAAATTTTTTGTTAAAATTATTTTATTGTATTTAGATATAATATTATTATAGTATTTTATAATATTTGAATAATTTTAAATTTAGTTATAAAAAAGAAAAATATTTGATATTTATAGTTTTTTTGATATATAATTAATAATTAATTTATAAAAAAATTTTAAAATTTTTATTATTATTGTATGTAATAATAATAATATATATATATTGAATTTTTGTTATATATAAACTTTTTTAAAATAAAATATTTTTTTGTAATAAAAATTTGTAAATAAATCAAATGTAAATTAAATCAAATATGATTAAAGTTTGAAATAGACTAGTTAATTTAATTGTTATATAATAAAATTTTATCAATTAATAAAAATTGATTTATAATATATATATTGTATATAATATAAGTTTTTGATTTTAATTTTTTTATAAAATTAATTTTAATTGTATTAATATTTAAAACAAAATTTATTTATTTATTGTATATATTGTGATATATTTAAAAAAATCGAATTTTTAAATTTAATAATAAAAATTTTTTCAAAATTCATTTTTATATAATATATAATATAATATATATTATTATAATATTGTAATTATATTTTAAATTTTCATTTTAATATATTTTATATCAATTTAACTTTTTTATAATACATTATGTTTATATACAATATAACTAAAATAAAAAAACAATTATTATATCTATATTTTTAATATTACGAGTTTTTTTTTAAAAAATAAGTTTTAAAATTATGAAATATAATATTTATTTATTTTTTTCATAACAAAATATAATAGATATTGTATATATAATATAATTGCTAAAAAAAATTTTTTTTTTAAGATTAAATTAAATTATTTATTTTATTTTTATTTTTTTAATTCGAAAAATTTTAATGATATCGAATTTTTTGAAAAAACCGTTAATTAAATTGATTAAATAAATAAATTATTTATTTATTTAAAACTTATGTTACAAATACTTGTGTTAATAAATACATTTAAAAAAATTAATAATCAACGCTGTAACTATAACACGTAATTAATTGAAAGTATCAAATAGTATAGATGATGATTCATTTGATAATTGTATGAATTTTAATTACATCACGTAAAAATAAGTGAAAATCAAATTATTTTTATTTTAATGGATTATTAATATTTAATAAAAATATTAAACTTAAAAATTATTGATTATGATAATTAGTTTAAATAAAAATTATAGTAGGAATTTTACTTTTATTTATGAAAATATTTATATCATCGTTATTTTGTTATTTATCATCATAATACGCAGACAGTTTTTCAATAGTGTGCAAATACATTATATTGCGCACGAGTGAATCTTCTCACCTGATTATTCAATTGACCGATATGGTTCGTAAAATCATCTGATTTCTGATTTACGTAATTTTGAAATCGTTCGCGAATTTCAATTTCCTTCGCACATCTTAAACTAAGATTAACCGTAACATTTTATCTGATCACCAACTAATGATCTAACCTTGTGATCAGTGCAGAATCCCGGTCCGAGACTGGATGATACTTTGTTTGGTTGATTGTACTAACTTCAATAATTGTGTATTTCAGCATATTTTAAAGTATGTGCGTATTCCTTTGAAAGATATTTGAGTCAAATGTGATTTGTTCACAAATATAATATGATAGCAACAATGACTGAACTGAACTGTCGTATCAAATTATCTAATGGTATTGTTCGGTTTTTTTATATTTTCCCAGATTCAAGGTTTTTGTTGAAGATTCTTGTATAAAAAATATAAAAAATGACTTGAGGTCACTCATAGTTTTCATTGAAACCTATAAATAAGGAAATATGAAAAAAATTTCGATTCGATCACGTAAAGAAAAGCCAAAACCGCCGATCAAACAGCATTGCAGCAAACAAATGTTTAAAAACTTCAGACCACAGAATAAAAAAAGCACGTGGAAAAAAAAAAAACGAAGGGTCATAAATAATTGCATAAAATATAATGATGCTAAGACTATACATTGTTCTGAAGGTTACTTAACCTCAGGTGCTACCTCTTTAAACACTGTGTGAAGTAACCAGAGAACAATGAAAGGATAATAAATAGAAATTACATAATTTCTTCTTAATATCGTCCATGGCGATGATTTCAATTTTTTTTTTCTTTATGATCGTCAATCTTGATACGTGATTATGATTAAGATCGTGACGAAGAATTTGCTTTTGGGTTGAATGAAATAAATAACAAATAGATGTCTATTCATGGTTTCTTTGCGCAATAAAGGAAAATCCGTGTCTCAAACTTTTCAATGATGACGAAATGATCGTTTTTCTAATTTGTATTAGTAGCACAAAAAAACTTTCTGGATTATTGAGAAAACCTGTTTTCCCCTGGTAGATGGTTTCATTCATTGTCGAATATTCCAAAATGAGTAAAAGAAGAACAATAAGGTCACCCCAGTTCTGGTTTAAGGTAGGACATTGAGGTGTACTCATTGTTGATTGGCGCAAGTTGAAAATTCATTTGGGCCAAGGTCGTTTCTCTAGGGTTGTGCCATTTTTTACGTGCGTACGTGTCATAAGTAGCATAACAAACATTCTTCATGCATGGAACGCATTTCTTGGTAATTATGTTACGTATCTACGTATGTACATACATACCGACGTATTATAAATAAACGTGCTGACCCTTTTCCTTAAAAAATTTTCATTCTGTTGGTAAATGCGAAATTAAAGTTTTTCTTTTTTTTCCAAAATTAAAAAATTTCTTTTTTCCAAATTAAAAAATTCTTTTTCTCTAAATTAAAAATATTTTTTTTTTCATTTTCTCTTTCTTTTTTATTAGAAGTTTTAAAAAGTTGAGCTTTTTTCATAATCTAATTTTAGCACGCCACACAATGACGTCAACCGAAAGCTCAAACTTACCAAGAAAAAGTGAGACACATTTTTATTCAGATGGAGATGTTGAATTAGTAGCGGAAAAGATAACATTCAGAGTGCATAGGAATATCTTGGAATTATCATCACAATTCTTTAAGGAGATGTTCATGTCGGCAAAACCATCTGCCGAGGATTTGGTGGTAATATCAAGTACCGGAAAAACGATTCCAAGAATTGACTTGAGAGACGATTCAGCACAAGATTTCGAAAAATTACTTTCATTCCTTTATCCAAATACCTTTTATGAAATCGGCTGGGACAACGTCTCGAGCCTATTGAGATTGGCTGATAAATATATTGTCGAATCTCTGACGTCTGCTTGTGTAGCCTTCCTCAAACGATCCTATCAGGAAGAGCCATTGCAAGCATTGAAATTAGCCGAATTCTATCATATCTCCTCGGTGTATAAGGAATCCTCGAAATTGGTTTTGGATAATTTCGAACAACTTTTCTACGAGCCAAAAAATCTTCAGGGACTGTCTCGCACCACTCAGAAGAAGCTAAAGTTACAAAGACAACAGTATGTCGAGGGATTAAATAAATTGTATTGCGTCACGGTGGATAGAAGATTTCCTCCATTGACAGCCGAACACTTGAGATCGAATTTCGAAGAGTGCGTCAAGGACATTTGTACTTTTCCTTTTCAACCGCCATCATATGCTTGGATGAAACTACACCAGGTCGATTGTTCCAAGCATTTTGAATGTCGAGAGGAATTGAGGAGGTTGAAACCATTCATTAATGAAAAGATATCAACATTTTTCGGCGGTGAATACGAACCTTTGGCTTGCTCCCGTAATCCTTCGTCCGCATCTACGCCCGAAAATTTTTATCCGTTTATTGAACTGCGAGATGATTGAGTCAAGATAATACTTTTGGAAATGTAGGTCATGTCATGTGATTTACGAGACAGTTAGTTGGTTTTGAAAATTGAACGTAGCAACATTGCAGTGTCATTTAATTTAAAACATTAACATAACATAACATTTTATTTTGGTTTAAAAAAAAAAAAAAAATCGAGACATGCTATTGCCAGAGGCAGTTTGGACACTGTTCCTAACATGCGTTCTCATGAAAAATGTATATACACATGAAATAAAAATTCGCTATACTTGATTTTATGTTGATAATGACATCAAAAAAAAAAAAAAAACCATGGTTGAATTTGATTTGACTAAATTCCGATAATTATGTAATCAAAGCAAAGGAAAAATAATTTTGGGGAGCTCGTGATAGTCCCATTCCCGTATTTACGTTGACGCAGTATATTATGCTGATGCTTCTTAATGTCCAAAAACTTGTCCTTGGGCACAGATAATAATAATAATATGTATATAAGATATTTGTGATAAGATAAAATATTTGTATGTTTTATTTATTTATTTTAAAAACGATAATAATTATTAAAAAATTCATTATTAACTTTATAATTTATTTCCATATACAGCACATAAAATTATTAAAAATTGATTTTTAGCAAAAGAAAATTATGCTATGTAATGTTCGGCATAATAATGTGGACGTTGATTTACTCAAATAACAAAGATCGAGCGTCAAGATCAATTCGAATATCGTCTCGATAAGTAACCTCATTTTAAATTAATTAATTGTTGATACATGGTAAGTGTATATATAAATCTAGACTCCATATTTAAGTTGTACAACTATAGCTCAGATCTCACTGATTTAATACACGTTCTTCGTTTTTCTTATCGTCCACTTGACACATCTATCAATTTAGGAGAGACCATATTTCGAAATTCGGTGTCAGGCAATATGGTAATGCTAAATGAAATACGATTTTGTGAACCTCACCTTTCTATACTTTTGATATGGAAAGGAGGGTGCTATCTCTATTCCCTCTTCTGGAAACAACCACTCCAAAAATCTCCAAAATAAATAATCAACTGCCATCACTATGCAAAATATTTTACCTGCCCATACCCCACATCCATAATACCTAGTTTACATAACAATGTTAAATAAGATAATTTCGAATGAACAATAGATCTTGAATGTTATGATCGAACAATCAAAATCACCTTCTTAATCTTTCCATTAACGGAGGATTCTTGATTTCCCAAATTTTATCGTAGACCTCATTCATTATAAGAACACGATCGTGTCAGCCGAAAGAAGATGATATAACTTTAATGTTCGGTACTCACCTTCTCCGTTCTCTCGGCGACATTGACCCAGCTATACATCTCCTTGATTTGATCGTGAAATTCAGCCGGAGAAACTTCTTTACACGTGATCATTCTTATGGCATCTTTGACCGCATCGACCAAATCTTTATGTCAGGAGGAAAAGAAAAGGTGATAATTAGAACAATGCGTAAAATCATGGAACATGTGCCAAGACGTGATACCATCTTCCTCAGGCTTCGCAAAAATAATCATCTCCTTCGGAAGTACTTCAGGAACACCGCCAACTTTTGTGCTCACAACAAGTAATCTAGTAGATGAATGAATACACATGTGATAAATAGGATTGGCAGAATAAAATTGGTAGGTTACTATTTTACCTAATTTACCTACCCACAACAGGCTGCTTCAACTATTCCGATACAAAACGCCTCTGTTAGGCTGGTGTTTAGAAATATTTGACCTTTGATCAGTACCTAGTAAACAAAAAACAAAAGCATTCATTCTAGTAATGATGATAATGGTACTATTAGAGAACAATGTGAGCTCAAAAGAATAATATAATACCGTGACAATTCACGCACATTTCTAACTTCATGTTGCATCACGGGTCCGAGTAATTCAACGCGATCATGAAGTAAATACTTTTCTCTCATTTGTTCTAAATCGATTCGCTTCGGACCATCTCCACCTTTATACCGGAAAATGCCATGTGAATAACTAGGAGAGTGGCAATGAGAAACTTGGATGCACCATAGATCAATGAAGTAACGTTACCGATTATGAATCTAACTTTTGGATTCATTTGGCAAATTCTTGGTATGGCTGCCACGAGCAAATCCATCCCTTTTCTATACACCAACCTACTCGCAACTACGATGGTGACTAAAAAATTGATTTGGTATTATCCATTAGAAATCAGAAACAGTCCAGAAACGCGAATAAAAGGGGAGGGAGAGGACAGTTACTGAAATTTTTATCCGGTGCACTAGGATCTGGTTTGAATTGAGAAGCCACCACTGCATTTGGAATCACCGAAACCATATGAGCATTCAACGCTGCTCTAAGAACGGTATTCTCTTTACTATTCCAATTACAAGAAGATAGTTTTTAGGCAACAACGATTTTTTTTTTTAAAAAAAAAAAAAAAGAAAAAACTAACCTAGTATGACTAACGCATATAACATGGTCGATATCACTCAGAGTAAATTTCAGAGCTTTGTTCATGAGAATGCTGCTCGCGTCGGCAAATCCGAATAAACTATGATCCGTAAAGCAAGCTTTCATTCCCATCGTGCGAGCATGCAATATTGCCTCGTGACACATTGACGAAAACGCTTGATGACCGTGAACAATATTGATCTTCTCACGAATGACAATGTTCCGAAATATCGGGAAAAACCCGTATACTGTTGGTAAAGTTGCTTCCGAGTAAATCACCATATGAGGCACATAGTAAACCTTTAGGCCATTGGCAAGGTATCTAACACCGGTACGGTTTCCGTAAGAATGCGTTATGATTATAACCTAATGTTGAACGGATTACTGTCGATTAAAAATTGCCGAGGGATAAAATGCAAGAATTCCTGAACGAAACAGGTTCGTACTTTATGACCACGTTGAATTAATCTTTGCGACAATTGATACAAGTGACTCTCTACGCCACCCATGTTTGGATAAAAGAAATCGGATACCATCCTTGTTGCAAACAAAAATTCCAAAATAAGTCAACACACGCGCATTTTGATACGTACAAATTCTGTATTACGCCGAAAATCACTCACGCTATATTGTACGGCATTTCTCCTTTGGAAAAGAATCTGAAAAAATTGATAATGCGATCATCACTTGTCAATAGACTATTGGATGTTTTATCAGTAGGATCACATGATTACAGTGAATACTCAGCAAGTTCGTTCGTGAAGTAATCATGCTTCCTAAAGTCAAAAACGCGGTGATTGATTAGACGCGTCCAAGAACACTGTTTCCGAGAATTCGTGATTCCATTTATCACACTAGGATGTGATGTTATTGGAAACTAGCATTCAGTTTAAATAAATTCATTTTGTTTTTTATCAAACTATTCGTTTCTTGTGAGGACTCTGAGCTTGATACACATTCGTTTTGCGCCGAATTCCAAGGTCCCGGAATTCCACGATATCCTCGGATCAAAAAATCGAGTCTCGGAAATTTTCTAGACAAGCTTGAAAATCAGAGAGATCCTCGTTACGAAGACAATAATTGTTTCAAAGTTAATAAGGAAAATGTTTAAGCGTCATTAATTTTTTGCCCAAGAAATTATATATTAATTATTGATCTTATTGTTTTTTTCAAATAAATCGTTTTTTCTTTCTTCGAGAAAATAAAGAATTATTCCCTCTTAGTATGATAGGTACCATTATCAATAATTTAATCATACATAAAACGTTATCGTCATAATTTGGTCATTTGTTTTTGATGTATTAAAAATGAAGATATACTTGACGTAGCCTACTAAATACGCCCGATGTCATCAGTGATAACTCCACACATCCCACAAACCACGCCGTCTCGACTAATATAATGATAAAAATCAAATTTTCATATAGTCATCATTCGTATCTGGATATCTCTTACTCTTTCCTTGTCCCCTTCGTCAGAAAGATTGCAGCTTTCTCGTCGCCTTGCACATTTGATCACGAAATAAAAGACCGTGGTCATACTTTATGATCATACGACTTTTGCAATCTTACATACCCACGACGCTTCAGGCATTAAATCAAACTTGGTTCTTTTCCCTCTCCTTTTTTTTTTTTTTTACGATATTAACGCGTAATCTTTAATATATCTTTTTTTATTTACGTAGAATTGTAAAATATCAAAAAAAAAAATTTTTTTTTTTTTCAATAAATTCTTTACACATATACATATACACACATATATATTTGGCGCTGATAACTATTAGATATTGAAAGTGACTGCAAACAGAGGATATTAAAAAAAAAATGTAGTAAATATAAATATTAACTCGTGAGCTTCCGTAGTAGTGTGATTGTGTGCGTGTGAATAGTAAAAACGCCACCCTTCCTTGCGTTTTCCTTTTTTTTCTTTCTTTACTATTATCCTTAAAAAAAAAATTATAAAATCAGCGAGTTTTTTTTTGGTTTTTTGGCTTTTCTTAGTTTGCCTTTTTGGTTTCTTCACATTGGGTGGTTTGGTGAAACTCTGCATTATTCTTCCCGTTTTTTTTTGTTTACGTAAAAAAAAAAAAAAAAAAAAAAAAAAAACTAATGGAAACGTTTAGGGGTAAGCTCATTGTTGCGGTCATTAAAACAAGCATGACTCTAGAGTCAATTCATTGTCTGGAGTTACTTTTTCGGTTTTATCTTATTTTATTATTTTAATACCCGAATATTAAAATGAATAATTTTTGTGTAAGCAAAAAATGGTCATGACATGAAAAAGCTAATTTGACCCCCCTTTATCTTCAGGAAAAATCCAAACGGTCAAAGATGCAATGATAATTTTTGGTAAGGATACAATTTACCAACATGTTCACGCGAATTCTGGAATCAGACGTTGGACATAAATTTTTGCATTCTATTTGGTGAATTCTATAATTTTTAGAAGCATGTAGACAAGGAATTCTTCATATGACTAAGCGTCGCTTGTTGGAAAAGGAAAAGGAGGAGTTGTGTAGTGGCCAAGTGTGAGTTTTCTGTCATTTCAGCGGCAACTTTTCCAATTTATCACGTGATTGCCCATCATATTCTCTCGTTAGGTACGTGTTCGATGAAACCGAGTCTAGCATTAAACGATGGACCGATGGACGGTTTGTTAGCCATTGCATACCTTTATCGGTTTTCTGCTTCATTCTGAAACCTTCCGAGAAGCAGATTTATATTGATATTCTTTTTACCATGTTTTATTGATGAACCTCAAGTCTTTGGTCTCCAAGTCGCATTATCAAGGATTTTTTGGTTTACCGAGAGTTGGCCACACGTGACCGCAGTGTCAAAAGAGATGAACCTATCGATGAATCCTTACAAAAACGAGTGCAAGCCGAAGGATTAAAGGTTCACCAATGCAGCAAAGGAACTTTTGTGCTCAGGAACAATGGTCTGCTGAAAAAGACTATTTCTATCAAGTTCAATGGAACCTACCAACACATGATAATCTACGAGGATACTTCAGGTAGGGATTCATTCTTTTTTATTTCTTTCGCATCAAATCTGGCTTCCTCTTGTAACTTTCCGGTGGAATTTAGAGAGCGGAAACAATCTACTACCGCCAGAGGCATTCGAGGAACTTCGTCACATTCAACCCAGTGAAGATATCATTAAAAGCGAGAAAATGCCCAAGATAAATCGAAACTCTAAGAAAAACAAGAGGAAGAAGCGTTCATTGAAACATATTGTCATGGATGATTGCTTCTTATATCAAGGTGATAAATTTTTTGTGTGGAATCACGATCATGATTCGAACAGTGACGGTTTATCCGATATTCAAGACGAGCAAGAATATGCTGCTACCGGCAACATTATTTCCGCACAACCCTCGTCAATCATACAGCCATCGATCACTAATTTATATTCCGCTGGTGTGAATCAAGCAACAACCAACAATAGTATCGCGCCTTTACTTTGTAGCCCTTGGCCACCAATTTCCACTACACCATGTTACGACTTGATGATTAGGGAGGCATCACCTTTGACTAACCGCTCCTCTTCAACAACCTATCCTCCAGTAAACCTTACTCAAGATCAACACCCTGCCGATCCCCAGCATCAACAATTATTACAATCTCCTTACATTTTACACCAAGACTATTCACAGTTCATTAATCCCTCTGGTGCTTTGTCAGGCAATCAAAATAATCTTGTCAACCATTATCCTACTTCGGGAAACGCGATTGTCACAAATTCTAGTATCGGTGTTACTGGTGGGGATAATAACGGTGGAGGATTATTCTTTTACCAATAATACACATTATCACGTGGGTAGTCGTGGTGAATGTTTAACACGTTTGATTACTGAACTGTTCCTTTTCAAGTTACTCATTTTACCCACGTACTTTTCTTCTTTTCTTTTTAATACCATAGGAATTATAATTCGTGAAAGATACACTTTACGTATATAATAAAAACTTATTTAATCATCTGCAATCTTTATTTCCTCATTATTTTTTGCTGTGAATCGATTGCAAAGATAGGGTAGCATTAAACTAGTAATCAATTAATAATTAGATTGTAGAAAAAACCGAATGAGATCTGACTCAGTTGTATATAGTAGACGAGAATGTATATATTAATATATATAATAATTTCGAACTTGATTCGGTAATATACGTATGAACATTTTGAGATCCTTTACTATAAAGTAATGCAGTACTTTCTTGATCGTTGTTTGTGTTTGTGTATGTGAACATGGATGACCGTGATATTCACCTTGAGACAACTTTGATGTTTTCTTTTAAAACGACGCGCAAACCCCTGTTGATTTTCCGAATTTATTCTCACCTTTTTTAAAAAATAAACCGTGAATCAGAATAGGTTTAGCGTCAGGTTACATAATCGTTATTACAACATTCGGATAATATGATCGAAAAATTGTGCAATCAACATACTGTTACTTAACTTTGATTATAATATAATAGTATATTTTTATTTTTATTGAGAATTTTTAAAATGCCTATATAACTTCAAACAACACATCTAATATTTGGGATAATTTCATATTTCTTCTTATAAATAAGAATCTTTTTTGATAATTATTCAGATGTAACAAAAATAATTCTTTAATTAATTCTTTACGTAAATAATTAAAATAAAAACAATTTACAATTGACTGAAATATAAAAGATTAAAATTTTTTAATAAAATTATTATCATCTCATATATATATTTTTTTATATGGTTTTGTTAAAACAATAATTTTAATTGTTTATATTTATTAATTTATTTGATTTTTTTTTCTTCTAATTAAACTGTTAAGCATGTATTTATTAATCTATTTTTTTTTCAAATAAAAATTACTAGTAGCACATATAACTTTATTAAGTAATTTACACTCAATTATATAATTATAAGATCTATTTAAGTTAATTTATTTCTCTTACTTATGATTTTACTTAGTTATATAAATTTATTATCATAATTATATATTAAAACATCTATATAGACAAAGTTAACAAGTGAATTCAAGTGATAATTTTTCAATTAAAAAATATAGAGAATATAGCTTGAATATAAAAAAAAAACAAATATATCAGAAATATATATTTGAAAAAAACAACAATATTATCTATCAAAAAAAATAAAAAACAATTCAAAACTATTTAATCAAATAATAGACAATTTCTTATAAATACAAATTTTATCAAACTTTATTAAACAAATACATAATTGAAACAATTTAATATTAAATACAAAAAAAAGAAATCATTATTGAAATTGACAATATGAATACAAACTTACTTATTAAACATAATATATTTGAATATATTAAACTATAAAATCAAATAACATAAAAATATTATTTCTTTCATAATATATATCTTGTCATATATAAACCAAATAAAGAAATGATATTTATCTACAAAAAAAAAAAATTGTAAAATTAAATAAGACAAGAATTGGAATAAATTCACATACAAATTCAAAAAAAAATAGAAGTTTACAAAAACATATATAAATAAATCATTGAAAAAAAATAAAAATAATCAAATAAAAATAAAAGTGAAAAGTATAATTATCAATATTGAAATATATTAAAAGAAATAAAAATCAAAGACAAATATAAAGACTTTTTTTTATTAATTAAAATAGAATTATTAACAATTCTAATAATACTAATATATTTTAATTTAAATATAATAAAAATTACAACAATGGATAATAAAAATATAATTTATATAATGTAATCTAAATTTTCACAAAAATAAAAAAAAAGAAAAATCGAATTAATATAATTTTTATTTAGAAAAAAGTAAAAGACAAAACAATAAAAACAATTCTTAAAAAGATCAAAGTATACATATAAGACAAAAACAATAAACAGGCATATGAACTTATAAAAACAAAAAAAAATTTAATATATATATATATTATAAGTATAAATAGAATTTCTAATAATATTATTTCAATATCAAATTAATACTAAATTTATTATAAGTTAATATTATTTTAATACTATTTCAATATTAGTTTAAAACTTTAAATATAAATAATTAATATATTAAAGAAAAAAAATATATATTATAATGAAATAATAAAAAATTAAATATAAATATTAACAGATTTATAAAAAAATAACTGAATAACAAATGAATTAACATATAAGCTATATAAAAAAAACACAAGGCATGACTTAAAATAGGAAATAAAAAAATAATAGATTAAAAAAAAATATGAACAAGTCTATTATTATCATTAAGAATTATGAGTTTCTATATTAATCAATAAGACTATAATATTAAAATATTTAAATACAAGTTATCAAATAAAAAAAATTAATTAAAAATAAACTA